ATCTGGTCTACGATATCTTGCCGCCAAGCCATATACCATGAAGCAACACCTACAACATTTCGACGTTGTTTCTAGCAGGGCTTCAGGCCGACTGGGACAGAAGATGGCGGCAGCGCAAACCGTGCCGGCCCGCCTGCGACGGTAGAGTGAGGCGCTGAAGTACGAATCTGCGTGCCAAGGCCGTCAATCCCAAAGCCATGGGCCGCGTTTGGAAGGTGCGCACCCTACACAGCCTTGATGCCTTTATGTTGAAGCTGAGGCTCAAGGCACGATATGCATTCCAGTCTCCACAAGCTCACCCCAAGTCCCGGGCACACTCGTTCCCAAATCTGAAGCTTGAGATCCAAATCCAAACCGTCAAAACCTCCACAAGGTGAAACATTTTGTTTTGCATAGGAGAAGCAGATCGACGAAAGGTCGCCTAACGATCGAATTATCCAGAATCTCTGAGAGATCGGGAGGGGGGCGTAGTGTTAAGAGTTCGGGCTTCAGCGTGCCACTGGCAGGGTTCAGGGTTTTTTGCATGGCTTGTAGCTCAGAAAGCTGGTTCTGCAGGCTGTGGCCAGCTTTGCTCTGAATGGACAGTCAGAGTCACTTGCTTCATGTACCCGTGGGCCTTCTCAGGGACATTTCTAGCGTATATAGGGTTCGGAGGCTCTGAGTCCAGTGTGTTTTTAAAGCCTCAATCTGGATCACCCGAAGCTCATGTACTTCAAGCCATAAACCCCGAAATCCTCTGTAGCCGCTATAGGCCACATACCTTCAAGCCTTCAGAAAAGAAAGCAAGATCCCTCTGGGAAGAACGGTCTTGTAGTTCATGCATTCTCAGAGACCCTGGCGAAGGGCCCTGGCTGAGAATGCAAAGTTCAGCCAGCATCGGCCGAATTACACTCAGATCCCTCAGCCTAGGGCTTAGGATTTCTGTGTGAGAGCATCCAAAATCTCCGGAAGACCTCTAAAGCCCCCAAGACTCCCGGATGTGGGGCCCCAGGTAGAGGGTAACTCTGAGAGCTCTCTGGTCCTAGTCCTAAATAACACAGCGGAAGCGGCTCACGGTCCCTATATGGCTCAGGGTTTTGAGGTTAGGTGTCAGGTTTTGGCGTCTACGGGGCGGGGCAGAGTTTGAAGGATTTACGCTTTGCAGCTATTCCAAGAAGGTCTTTCAGCATAGTGCGAGGGTCTTGGCACATGTGCAGATACCTAATTGACGTACCACATTAAGGCTCCAACGGCTTTTGCTAGTAAACCCAACATACTAGGGGTTGCAGGTTTGGAGGAAGTGCGCTGAACACTTGAGCGTGTCATTTCCGCTCTTGGTAGTTGGTAGAAATCTGTGGCAATGAGGCTGGATGGATAGATGGATGGATGGACGGATGGACGGATGGACGGATGGACGGACGGACGGAGGGAATGACATGGCCTAAGAGGAACTGAACAAAGACATTACGGGGGATCCTAAACAACAAAGGTAAGCTTGTGTCCTAGCCCTGAAATCTGAATCCCTATAATCTGATGTTCTCGACGACAAATATATGCTCCACTTTGAGCGGATTTGTGGCCATATTTTATAAGGTTGTAAAGTTGAGTTGAGGCTGTGAGCAGACGTGAACCGAAAGGACCCTTGCGCTTCCTGGAAAATGCACTCGAACCTATCGCGCGCAGCTCACCAATCTCCTTCTTGACGGCAACGGACCACGGAACTGCTACACGTTCGAGGATGGTGAGTCTCCAGACTATTGCGGGGGCCGCGAGCGGCATATCGTGGGAAAAAGGAGAAGTACTAGTAGTACTAGTAGTAGTAGTAGTAGTAGTCGTCGTCGTCGTCGTCGTAGTTGTAGTCGTAGTAGTAGTCGTCGTCGTAGTAGTAGTAGTAGTAGTAGCAGTAGTAGTAGTAGGTAGTAGTAGTAGTAGTAGTAGTAGTAGTAGTAGTAGTAGTAGTAGTAGTAGTAGTAGTAGTAGTAGTAGTAGTAGTAGTAGTGGTGCCAGAACCAGCAGCAGAAGCAGCAGCAGCAGTGGCTGTCGTCGTCGTTATCGTCTTCGTGGCGGTGGCGGCGGTGGTGGTGGTATAGGAAACGTAGTGGTATTAGCATGGTGGCGGAAGCAGAGCGACAGCGGGACAACCAGGCTACGTATGATGTGGCCACTCCGGGACTTCAGCCACGTCGAGCAATTTCAGCCACATCGGAGCACGCGGCTGCACCTCCAAGTTTGGAAGCACCAGAGTCGCCAAAGTGCTTGATTCCACAAAACTTCGGTGTCCGGGAGGACGGGACCCGAGCAGGACTGTGGAAAGAACCGAACTTAGTACGAATGCGCACGACGCCGCAGGGGGAGCCGTGGAACCGCCGGGGGCACGCCTACCGGGTTGTGCTTCGCGTCGACGGTAACTTGACTCCTCTTCATTGAACGGCAGAACCTCCCGTCTCTTACCACGCCATTAGTAACGACTGTCGTCTGCTGCTCTACACCTTGAGTTTGACGTTCATTACGAGCAGCCTGTTAAAATGTCCTAACTTGGGCGTGTCAAAGTGTCGTGCTTATGACATCAAACGAGTCACGCGTTCAGGTTCAAAGGTTTGGAGAACTGGATAGAAACGCTATGGGTTTTGCTTAATGGAATCGAATATGGCAGGACGGGTTCCGTGTTGTGATAGCCAAGGCTTTTCCCTGCCGGAACCCACAATGCCCCTTGAACTGATGCAAGTAAACATTCAAACTCCTCTCCATTCGGCGTTGATGAAGGCCACCAGCGGGGGCTCTTGGCAAGCTGCATAACTGAGTGTCACTAAGGCCAGCCGAAAATTTTGATTCATCGATGTCCAGCCTCGGTGTCGGTTGTGGGTGCTCACTGGAATATTGGCTTTGGGTGTCGGGGCTTCGTGCTACATTCTCAGGCATAAACTCTGCGCTTGTCCCCACAAAAGCTTCAACTGGTCAACAGTGACGTGTGTATGTGTATGTGCATATG